CACGTCCTCCTCGTCGGGAACCGGTCAAAGTTAAATTCCCTGATTCCTACAGTGGAAAAAGGGAAGAGAACTTCGACAATTGGGAGGCCAATGTCAAGACCTATGTGCATCTGCAACAGGTCTCCCCGGATCAGCAGGTTCTGATTGCGATTCACGCGCTCAGAGATGAAGCCGCCAGCTTTGCAAGGTCCCTAGTTCGCGCTGCCAATTGCAACGATTATCCCGTTGCGTACTCCTCATTCACTTCCCTCACTGAGTTCTTGAAGCTGTTGCACGAGAGGTTCGCTGATGTCGCCCGTAGCGTTAAAGCCTCAGATAGGCTGCAGACGATCCACGCTCGTAAGTGGAAGAGCGCCAGGGCACTTAAGAGTACAATGGACGAACTGATAGCTGTCCCTGACCACGGGGTTACAGACACCCAGTTGGTTGGCCTCTTTTATCGGGCTATACCCGAAGCCCTTCGAGGGCATTTCTTCGCAAAGAGCGAAGACCCTGCCACTACATACGATTCCCTTAGTCGCGAAGTAGTGGCTTTTGAAGCCAAGTCTGCGTCTGTGTCCACTTTCTGGCACAAGGACTTGGACAAGGGTAAGCAAAGGAAGGGTCGCACTATCTCAGGGCAAGTAAAGACCAAGGACAGCCTTGTCCTGACCTTAGATGAGGGTAGTGTGGATGAGATCCCCTACGTGCCTATGGCAGAGGTTGCAGGCCGGTGTCTAGACAGCTGTCCTGAAACTGCTTGTGTTAGAGTTTCGCTAGACACCTCCCTCACAGGCGTGGCCGAAGAATTGAAGGAGAGGATGCCCGCCTGGGCCAAGATGAAGAAGGAGAATAAAGGGCAGCTTATATTGTTAGATACAGAGGTTTTTAGAAGTAGAGTAGGGGCCGTAGTAGATTCAGGGGCCACCCGCAGCTATATTAGTAGGAAAGCGCTGCAGAAGTTGAAGCTGGGACTTAAAGTCCAAAAGCTAGCAGATCCCATAGTTAGTATCCTCGCAGACAATCGTACTATGGTTGTAGAGGAGTATGTAGAGGGAGTCTAGGCGTATTTCCGCCTAGAGAAGGATGGGAAAGTGGAGAAGGTCCTCCACTCCCTAACTCTCCTCGTAGAAGACAGCCTCCCATTCGACATTGTCCTGGGAATGAATTGGGGAGAGGCAGCCGGGGCCACGCTCCATTTGAAGGAGCACGAGTGTAGGCTCCCTAGTTCGTCAGGCGAGGCTAAGATTGCCCATCTGTTCCATGTGTCCGGAGTAGAGAATTCCCTGGCACATTGCTGCCTTAGTGCCCCTCGTTCGCCAGGTTAGTGAAAAAGGAGAAATTGGAGAAACTGGTTTTTGTTGCCTATGTTAGGCCAGTGACTGAGTCTATGGAAGAAAAGTCGGTGGAGCCTGCGATTGCCAAGCTGCTGGAAGAGTTCAAGGATCTAACCGAGCCGCCGATAGGAGTAGTACCGCGGCCCATCCAGCACCGCATTGAGATAGAGCCTGGCAGTAGAACTCCTAAGGGCGCCGTGTACAGGATGTCCCCACGGGAGTTAGAGGAGCTTCGCAAGCAATTAGACGAGCTCCTCGAGAAGGGTTGGATTAGGCCCAGTTCGTCTCCTTTCGGAGCGCCTGTTCTCTTTGTTCCTAAGAAAGAGGGAGAGTTGAGAATGTGCATAGACTATAGGGGTCTGAATGCTATTACGGTAAAGAATGCTGAGCCACTGCCTAGGATAGACGATCTCTCAGATTGAGTGCAGGGGGCCAAGTATTTCTCTAAGATAGATTTGAAGTCTGGGTATCATCAAATAGAGGTGCATCCTGATGATCAGTATAAGACAGCCTTCCGGACTAGATACGGGCACTACGAGTTCATAGTGATGCCCTTTGGACTAACCAATGCGCCAGCTACGTTCCAGCGCTGCATGAACGATTTGTTTAGGCCGTGGTTAGACAAATTTGTTGTAGTTTACTTAAATGACATCTTAGTGTTTAGTCGGACCCTCGAAGAGCATCAGGGTCATCTCAGGCAGGTNGAGCATCAGGGTCATCTCAGGCAGGTCTTGGAGAAGCTGAGGGAAACTAACTTCAAGATCAATACAAAGAAGTGCGATTGGGCGAAGACCCAAGTTTTGTACCTAGGCCACGTCTTAGACGGAGACGGCGTTAGGCCAGAGGATAGCAAGATCGCAGCGATTAGAGATTGGCCCACGCCACGTACGCTGACCGAGTTGCGCTCGTTCTTGGGCTTAGCAAATTACTACAAGAAGTTCGTGAGGAACTTCTCCACCATCGCTGCGCCCCTTCGCAGATTGCTGAGAAAGGAGACAATCTGGAAGTGGGACAAGGACTGCACATCTGCCATGAAGAAGCTAAAGCAGGCATTGATAGAGTATCCGGTCCTTAAAGTCGTCGATTCGTCCTTGCCTTTTGTCGTCACGACCGATGCAAGTCAATACGGCATAGGCGCAGTGCTGCAGCAAGACGATGGCAATGGGTATAGACCCGTAGAGTTCATGTCAGCCAGAATGCCTTCAGAGAAGGTCGCGACATCGACCTATGAGAGGGAACTCTACGCTCTCAGGCAAGCCTTAGACCACTGGAAGCACTACTTGCTTGGGAGGCACTTCAAAGTCTATTCTGACCATGAAACGTTACGATGGTTAAAGACGCAGGCCAAGATGACACCTAAGCTTACTAGGTGGGCCGCCGAGATAGATCAGTACGACTTCGAGCTCAAGCCTGTCAAAGGGAAGTACAACGTAGTCGCAAATCCTCTGAGTAGGAGGGCAGATTACTTTGGGGCAATAGTACACTATCTTGATATAGGGAAGGACCTGCAGCAGAAGGTTAGAGAGGCCTATGCGCAGGACCCTATCTATAGTGAGCTCCTTAGGAAGATCAAAGAGGCCCCAGAGACTGAGCCGAACTACCGCACTACCGAGGGTTTGCTTTTTTAGAAGACTAATGTTTTTGACCGGATGTGCATCCCCAATAGTGAAGAGATCCGTAGTTTGATTTTGGGGGAATGCCACGATACAGAGGGTCATTTCGGTTGGCAAAAGACTTTAGCCAATCTGATGCGCGCGTATACCTAGCCAGGGATAAAGAATGACTGTGTAGAGTATGTTCGCAGTTGCCAAGTCTACCAGCGTAACAAGAGTTCTACGCGCGCCCCGCTAGGTCTTCTCAGACCCTTGCCCATTCCAGATCAGCCGGGAGACTCGGTGTCCATAGACTTCATGGACACTCACGTCAAAAGCAGGCATGGCAAGAACCAAGTCATGGTCATAGTTGACCGATTTAGTAAGTACGCAGTCTTTGTTCCTTTGCCGTCAGAGGCACGTACTGATTTAGTCATTCAGAGGTTTTTTGATTGTTGGGTTAGTGAGAATGGAATCCCGTTGTCAATAGTTAGCGATAGAGATAGTCGCTTTACCAGCCAGAACTGGCAAGAACTCATGGGAGTGTATGGATCTAAGTTGTTAATGTCGTCCGGCCGTCATCCGGAGACTAACGGTCAGATAGAGCAGATGAACAAGATCCTACAGCAAGTTTTGCGCATGTACATTAGGCCAGATCAGATAAACTGGGATGAGATGTTGCCCAAAGTAGCTAGTGCGTACAATAACAGCGTGCATTTGTCTACATGCCGCACTCCCAACGAACTGCACAAGTCCTTTAGACCGCACCAACCGTTTGAGGGACTCAACCGGGATCAGATTCATAGATTACCGCCCGGGACCAGGGAGTTTGCTGTGCAGCACGAGAAAGAACTAGCTACTGTTGTAGAGAACCTCAAGAAAGCCCAGCATAGAATGATAGAGCAAGCGAACAAACATCGTCGCCCTTCACAGTTTAAAGTAGGCGACTTAGTCCGAGTCAATTCTAAAGAGTTTGCGCCTGAGGAGAACATCTCGCAGAAGTTACTGCCCACATATAGAGGACCGTGGCCTGTTCTGGAAGTCAAGGGCGGCGAAGATGGACCATCCTACACCATAGAGTTACCAGCACACCTCCACACTTACCCAGTTTTGCACGCATCGAAGTTACTACCTTGTCAAACAAGTGATCAGTTTCCATCCCGTAGATCGATGATCCCACCGGATATGGATGGAAGATATGACATAGATGGTATAGTGGCTGAAGATGTCTTCAGAACTGGAGGTAGGGGTCGTCCGCAGAAACAGTA